CGAGCTTGAAGGATAAACCGCCCGCAGGGGCGTGCTGGGTGTTTTTTTTTTTACATATATATATAACACCACAGCGGGTTATATAAGTGCTGTGGTGTGTTTTAAAACCAGACAAGAACACTTCCAAAATGTTATATTCATGTAAGAAGTCCTTCAGCTGGGTGTAAGCAATTTTTTCCAAAATTCTGGACAAAAAAGGCAAATTGGAGATCAGCCTAAAGTTAGACAAGGCAGAAGGGTCAAGGCCAGGTGTCTTCAACAAAGGTTGCACCACCACATGTTTAAAATTACTAGGTACCAAACTGGTGGTCAGACTACCATTGATAACATTAAGGATAAAGAGACCAACAGTAGTGAAAACTTCCAGTCAGACGGTTTCATACTGGTAACCAGTTTCTCAAGCGAGGAAAGGGAAATAGGCTCCAAGTGATCAAAGACAGCAGGGACGGAACCAAAATGGATGGATGATAGGAGGGAAGAGAAATACAAGCCCTAGTCTTAACAACCTTGTCCAAGAATAAATTAAGAAAGTTATAGTTTTTCTGGAAGCTTCCAGAGGGACAGGTTCATGAGCATTAAGAGCAGTGTTAATTGTATTATAAAGGACACTGGGGTTGTGAGATTTAGCAGCAATGGGGTTAGAAAAATGTTTTTGCTCTAGCAGTTTTCACAGCTCTCTGACAACAACACCAGCTCTCTCTCAGTATCTCAAAAAAGACTTGCAGTTTGCCATTCTTCCACTTTCGCTAATTTCTCCTGCACTCTCATCTAATAGCACAGGTATGGACACGTAACCAACGTTCTGATCTGAACTTTGATCACCTGGTTTTAATCAGAGCCACAGAATTCAGAGCAGTATGGTACAAGGAATTAAAATGTAGAGAGCTCCTCAGTGCAGGAAGACACAGAGGGCTGCAAGTCTAAATGATTAAAACCAGTGGAGAAATGAGAAGAGGTGAAAAGGTTAAAAACACAGCAGTACCGAGCAAGAGCACAGGGTTTAAAAGATTGAACTTGTGGTCTGAAAACACTGCATCACAAATTTCCAAGTTACAAATTGATAAATCATAAGATAAGATGAAGTGTGTGTGTGCGTTTATGTGTTGGGCCGTTCACCGACTGAGTGAGGCCAAAGGCATCCCAACAACTCTAAGCCTTTTACCAGAGGCTTCCCAGAGCAACACACATGAATATTAAAATCCCCAACAGTTAAAATGTGACAGCTGTTTACAGTCAAAACGTAATTTATAAACAGTTGCTAAGCCAAAGTCAGCAACAGGTACCAGCCAGGAATCAATCATCTGGCCCTCAGCCTCACCATGCTTGCCATGGCGTCTGTGATGCCTTCTCCAGCGAGGTGGGTGTGGTGCCCAGCAAAGGTAAGCCATAGGGGTGCAACTATACTCGTATCGATATTGAACCGTTCGATACAGT